CTTCTCCAGGGGCTCCAGGAAGTGAGACCAAGACCAGAGAGAAGAGAGAGGCCTAGCCAGGGCTGAGCACTTGAGGGGCAGGGCCTTGGGCTCTCTGCCCGAGCAACTCGCTGCCCCTCTTGGCCTCTGCCAGCCTCCTAGCCAGTGCCAGCACCCGTGCAGCGGGGAGGGGGGGTTAGTGAGATCTGAGGCCAGGTGGGTGCAGGGCACATAGGGAGTAAGGGCTCAATACAGTCTCCCGAGAACACTCCAGGCCTGAGTTCTCCAGTCTTGGGGTGCAACTGTCTCTGAGGGAGCCAGCGACCCAGGTGCATTCATCCATCTGGCCACTAACCATGGACTTGACGGGTGTCCCCACTTGTCTGTCTGTGGGCACAGGGCGCCCCTGCCTGCCTGAGTGGGACCACATCCTGTGCTGGCCGCTGGGGGCGCCGGGCGAGGTGGTGGCCGTGCCCTGTCCCGACTACATTTACGACTTCAATCACAAAGGTAAGGCGGCCGGGATAGGGGGTAACCTCGGGACACTAGGGCTTGCAGCTCAGGGCTTCAGTGGCTGCAGACCCCTCTGCTCCCCTGACTCTCCCACGGACCCGCAGGCCATGCCTACCGTCGCTGTGACCGCAATGGCAGCTGGGAGCTGGTGCCCGGGCACAACCGGACGTGGGCCAACTACAGTGAATGCACCAAGTTCCTGACCAATGAGACTCGGGAGCGGGTGAGAGCCTTCCGCCTCCCTCACCTGGCCGGCGAGAGGCCACCCGCACCATGGGTGACCCTGACCGAGCCCTGACCGCTCCAGCAACCTTGACCTGGCCTCCGACCCTCACCCTGGTGCCTCCCCCTGCACAGGAGGTGTTTGACCGCCTGGGCATGATCTACACCGTGGGCTACTCTGCCTCGTTGGCCTCCCTCACCGTGGCTGTGCTCATCCTGGCCTACTTCAGGTGGGCGGGGCGATGGGGGAGGGGCCTCGGTCGGTGTGGGAGGGCGCACCCCTCCCCCTCCTGTACCCCT